TGGCGACGGGGGGGGGGGGGGGGGGAGGTCGCAAAAAATAATTTTTCCGGGAAAAATTTTTTGGTACTAGTCGGGCAGAATCCCGAAAAGTCGGGCGATTTTCTTTCCGCCCTCCTAATTTTTTCCTTCCGGTACGCCCATGTCTATTATAATTATTACAATTTTAACATTGAAGTTCAAATTTCAGGTAAAATCCTCCAACCCCCCCCCCTCCCCCAAATTCAGATGCTTTCCTACGTCCCAGTGGACAATATTTCACCGTTCAACTGAAAACGCTTGTATCGCGAATACATTGTGTTGTTCAGGAATGCGTGGCATAAAAAAGATGGTACACAACCAGATGTTTTCGGCATGTACTTAAAACAATTTGTTACGCGCGACGTTCTAGATTTTTGCTTTATTTCCAAGGGCCACAAAAAGCTAACAAAATTGTAAAGTCACTGGGAAATGATTTGAAATTCAAGTTGAATTAATTCGTCAGTGAAATTGGCATTTACTACTATTTAATACAGGTTCGACTACATCCATATTGATCTATTAACCCTTGGCCTTGGATAAACATCAAGATTCTGTTGGCATCTCACTCGATTCAACAGTTGAAGTGTGTTGTTAATGGAAATTATCGAGTCGGGAAATTTATATACGTTTTATTAGACCTATAATCAGGAACGGCTGCGAAAAATGCTACTTTACAGGTCCCTGGCAGGAGTTGAACCTGCGCGGGCCCTGCGATTCCTGTGCAGCGCTCTAACCGAGTGCATGAGCTACAGAGGCCAGTTGTCGAGCTCTAACCACAAGTATATAGGGTGCTGCCTGGCTTCAATTTAGTCGTAATATTATAGCGTGTCGAGACGTCTCCGCGTGGCGTCAATAGTAAGAATGACGCAAAACACTTAAAATGAGCATTAGACGAGTCAGTATTATACTGTTGTACATCTCAAGGCCAAACGAAAATGTGCATAGGGCAGACATTAACGAAAATTAAATTTACACACACCCAAGTCAAAATTATCATTTGGCGCACAGCATTCTGCAGAAGAAAATGACCATTGGGTCACGTGAAGTGGGGACGATGTGGGACTTCGGTGGCACAGTCGTCAGTGCAAGCGCCTGATTTGTTCAGTCGTCAGTGCAAGCGCATGGTTTGTTCGATTCGCGCTACGGACTCATGTGAAAAGAGTCAGGAGTCAACGTTCTGCCGAAAGTCGTGGGTTTTCTCCGAGTGCTCCAGTTTCTTCCCACAGGAAAAGTTGACAGAGTGGGTTAGGATAAACACAGTTAAGAAAGTAATATCACTGAATTGTTGTAAAGAAAAAATAGTCAAGTAAATGTATAGCGTATTTAACCATACCCGCATGTAAATGTGTTGATCGTCAGTCAGTTTTTCATCACGTGACCATAGAGAGTCGCCATTTTGTTAAGCGTGTCTTTACGCACGGGAAAGTTTAAATCCATTTGACTATTGCTTATAATATTACTCGGAATGAATAAAAAAACAGCATTTAGTTCTATGTATATGATTTAATGTGTTTTTGTTGAGATAGTTTTGTACTTAGAGTTTAAACTTTTCCGTGCGTTTACGCACGTATCAAAAACGCTTCACTGGAAAGTAGCTCTACGATTTAAAGTATGGCTTTAATTATAGATGGCATGTAGTAAATATACTTTATGATGAGACTAGAATTGGAAAACTGTACTCAATGGCGATTGTCAAATAAGTCATTGCTTAGATTTTGTGCTCGAAAATTTTGCCGTAACTATTTGAGCACGGTTTTTAAACAGAGCCTGATGAAAACAGAGCGCTTAGCGACTTCGTGTGGTTACCTTTTTGTACTACTTGCAAAGTGCAAACCAAGTATATCCGGTCTCAAAACTCGAATGGTTTTCGTTTAAATTTCTTTGCTCTATTTGAAATATGTTGGGTATACGTTGAGTGCTTAGGCCTATTTCAAACGTCGCGCTTCTCATGTGCCGAACGCATTAAAAACAATAGGTAATCAGCCTCATTATCTATTGTTTTTAATGCCTACTGTTAATTTATAAACAAACTGTAACGGGTTAGTAGTATATCAATACGCGTACATTCTGTTGGCATTATTTCTCTCCGCCGGTGTAGCCGTGTAAACGTAGTGTAATTGTAACAATATTGCATGCATGGTAACCCTATTTGTGTCAAGTTTGTTTGTAATATGAATTCAGCTTATGTCAAAATCACCGTATACCTGACGTGTCGAAGCCGTTTCGTTGGAGACTAATTAATCTGCAAGACGTTTTTGCTCGCGTATCGATCGTTGCCTCCATTTCAGATTCTTGCCTCTCTTTATGCACCTTGGACATGATAGCCGTATGCCACCATTGCACAAAGGATTCATGAACCATAGTAATATCAGCAATTGAACGAAAACTTTTAAAACACAACTAACTTTCATCTTTTATTGACTGCGGTCTGAAGGCCTTTTGACTAACTTGCACTCAGTTGTCCAGTTTGTTGATGCGAAGACGACGAGATCTTTTTCGCTTTGCCTCGGCGGAATGGCTTTCATTCTACTATATTCCACCCATAGGGTCACGTGGTACTTTCAGAAATTGCAATTTAATTAAGGCTACTTTCCAGTTTTCACGCGTGCGTGTACGCACGTACAAGTTTAAGTCGACTTAAACGTTTCTTATGAAAAAACTAAATGAATAAAAGAACAGAATTTAGTTTTCTGTATAATTTGCAGGTAAACTACGCAAAGTGTTCCTGTGTGAAGAGTTCGTAACTCATTTGGAATTTTCCTAATTACCTTTGCAAATTTGAAAAACTCTAATCCCTTCAGGGATTACGGCTCAAAGTCCACAAAAGTTAATTTATGTTCACGTGCGCGTGCACGTGGTGCGGACAGGATACAACATGAGCGTTACGACATGATAGTAAAAATTGATAAACTTGCGGCCTTCAACATATTACACGCAAGAACTACATTATAAAATGACCTTGTAAAACTCATTAATAATTGATGAAGGAAGTACAACAGAAATCGTGACCGTGAAGGGGTTTGTATGTCTGATACAATCATAGTTAATAGAATAGATGGTTTGGAAACTCATTCGAATAACAATAACACGGATAGGTAACTTTCCTAAAACATTGCTATTGGTTAGTTTGGGAAAAATACAATACGCATGCGCACGTGACGGTGAAGGACTAGATTTATTAATCAAAACGTTGACTAACATAGATAGTGAGTTATATTGTTATTCTAATGAGTTAATTCCAAACCATCTCTTCTATTAACTATGCTACAATTAAAATAAGCATTTTTTACATACCAAAAGTTAGCTATCAAATACCATTCATTGCGAGAACCACTCAGTATTTTTATAAAATACAAAATCCTTGAATCCTTCAGGATTGAATCAATCCTGAATAATGACTACAATCTAGTCGAAACGTAGATTCAATAAATCAAAACAAAAATGTTATTCGGAGTTACTGTTCTTTTGTATTTTATAAAAATACCATTCGGTTAAAAAGTTGATAACTAGTTTTATTGTGGTCAGTTTACATGCCGTAGTAAGTGTGTGCATATCAAATTCTATATGCTTGTATATAATTTAAACGTCTTATGCTATAGGAATAATAGGATAATTCGTAATATAGTTCATAGACCTATATTTTATGATTCTATGTACTATTTAAAACACGAGTAGGAGTGTTTTATCAGATATAAACCGAGCGTTTTATATCTGATAAAACACGACAACGAGTGTTTTGAATAGCTTAAAAGACGACTACAAAAGAATACTAATTAGGATGAACAATTATATAATCATACTAATTAGGATGAACAATTATATAAAGAATACTAATGAAGATGTGTTTTATCAGATATAAAGTCACTCCACGTGACATATTATGGCTGACATGATTTGTCATAAGGTTTATGAATTATTAATGCATGAATATCAAGTAAAAATATTCACCATGCATTTTGTGCTTACGATATTTATATCTGATACAAAATCATGCTGCCGATTTATGCATAAAATTTAAGTTCAATTTTCTCACTAAATATCATTAATTTATTTTAAATGGAGTCATGATTAAAGCATTGCTTGTTTAATCATAGCATAATTTAATATACACTGATCAAGAGGGAGAAAACGCTTGATTTTTCGCAGCAAAGCGATGCGTTAATAATAGCGTCTTACAAAGAACATATAAGCTCATCGAACGATAATTGATCAGCAAGATGTCTGAATATAATCTTCAACGGTTTGTGCCAGTACAGGTATAGTGCCAGTATAATAACAATTTCTCCTTGTATTTTTCAGGTATAGTTGCGTCCGCCTACCAACGAGACACTGTCTCCGGCTGAATATGCCTATAAAGGCAGGATGTTTCTCAGGGATTATTCTAAGGAAATTTTATCACTGCACAAAAGCGCGAAAATAATAAAATTTATATATATTTAGTGACATTTTAGAAAACGTTCTGACTGCCCTGTATGAGTATATGTACTCAAGTTCTGCAACTTTAAAGTTTACCCCATGCATGTCACTAATTATATGCAGGCAAATGAGTCAAAATGACCGCTAATGGAGCCCAATCTGCATTCTGCATATTCTATTTCATGCAAAAATATGCACATTTTCACATATTTTTGAATTGCATGCAAAACACCAAGCAATATTGCTCAAGATCTAGTCTTTCACACTCTGCATGAAATAGATTAATCTATAAACTGTTGTCAAAAAGCAGTGTCAAAAATCTCAAAACAGAATCGCTCGGCAGCAGCTTAACCTTACGAAGATTATTAAAAGTGATTTTTTTTAACACGACTTGGCTGCTAGGAGAGATACCCGATCGGAATAAATATGCCACTGAAACATTAGTACTGATGCATGAATGCTTTATTGATTAAGAGGTCGGCAAACAGTAGCCGAGCTCTCAGATTGCAATAATATAGTGTTAAATATTTTCACCCTGTACATTCCCAGTAAAAACTGAAAGTCACTGCATGTGGATTATATGCAAATTAGTATACAAGCAGTAGTCATTTTGTCGCCAATTTCTGGTACTGAACAATATCGCATTTTATCACTGCACATAATCTAATTTATCACTGCACAAATCTCATTTATCACTGCACAAATTGGTTATCACTGCACCTTAGAATAATCCCTGATGTTTCTTAACTGAGTTTAGAGTGAAGTTGAAAGAATTCTATTTTGAAAGGTTACGATCAGTTTTTCATGGGGACAACATCAGGTCGTACAAAATTATTTGTCCAAAATGTCGTAGTGTCAACACCATGAATTTATGTACTTGTTGACTGACTTTGATTTTAGTGTAATTGTAAGAGTGAGGCAGTTAACCTTGTAAGGGACTTCGTGTCCTATTGTTACTCTGCCTAGTATAAAATTGTTATTTTGTAATAATTTATATACTGAATTTAATAAATTCAAATTCAAAT